CTGCCCGGAGAGGAGTGGTTTTGTCTTGGCTATGCTGCAAGCTGGTCTTCCCTGCCTGTTTTCCCTCTGGGCAGTGGAGAGCAGATCCTGTGCTAGCAGTGAGGGTGCACTGCTGCAGCAGCATGATGTCAGGCCCTAGAGCTGTTGCAAAGAGAGAAAGGCAAATTTTCTCCCCTTGGGACACGGATGTTCCCTTCTCTCCCAGGACAGAGCTGGGTCTTTGCTGCTGCTGCCTGAAACTGAGATTGCTGGGAAAGAGCAACAATGTCCAGAGCCACAGGGACTCACTAAGGAGTGCTAAGGCCATCCTTTCTCCCATCCATCCACCTGTCCATCCGTCCATCCATCCATCAACACTTGCTTGCAGCTTTCTATCTCACCGCCATCTCTCCATCCATCTACTGAGCTGCTGGTGCACTCACCCATCCATCCATCGACAAATGAGTACAGCACTCTTCCCACCCATCCCCATGCCTACCCGCACATCCATCCAGCTAGCCACCCACCCATCTGTCTGTCCATCCTCCCATTCACCCCTCCATCCATCCATCACCCGCCTGGCAGTGCCTGAATGATGCCCAGCTGCCGAACAGCCCTCCTCGGGGGTACGGCGTGTGCCCACGCCTGTGCACACGTGTGTGTGTGGGACACGCTGGCCACAGGGAGTACCACAGGCAGGGATGTCCCAGGCTGTGTCCAGCCATGGGGCAGGGGCTGGGAGCACTGGCGGGGGGGAAGCGGGGGACCTGTCTAATTTAAGAACAGGCCCCACGGTCGCTGTCAGCGCTGGGTGGCTCTGATCTGAGGACAGGTCCTCGTCAGCTCCGCTTGCCGCCCGCCGGCCCTACATGAAAGGGCTCTGCGCCCCGATAAGGCCCCAGGCGCTCAGCCCCAGAGGTGGGCAGCACTGCGGCTGAGCCTGGGGGACCCCTGAGCAGTGAACCCTGGCATGGCTGTCCCCAAATTCACTGTCACCCCAGTACCATGGGGCTTGTGTGTTTACATCGGTCAGAGAGCTCAGCCCTGGGGGCTGCTCTTTGCTTTGGGCACTGGTTTGTGCCCTGTGTCACCACCAGCTCCCACTGGTGACATGACCCCAGGGAGGGCTCTGTCCCCAGCATTCCCCTGGCTGCCACCAGCTGCTCCGCCAGCCGTTACCCCACACTGGAGTCCCTCAGCCGCAAGCAGCCGCGGATGGGGACCATGTTGTTTTAATAAGATCATTCTCCTCCTGCTGTGAGGTCGCAACCCCAGGCTTATGACATCACAGCGCGCTGCCATGGAGACACCGGGATGTCACAAACACAGCTCGATGACCTCACTGCAGGAGCAGGAGATGGGGCCAACCTGGGTTTGATCGCCAATGTCCTCGGGAATAAAGGAGGGGAGGGACGCTGGGAAAGTATGCGGCTGCTGAGCGCTGGGGTGTTTGGGTTGGAAATCGCTGCGCTTTCCCCGCAGCGGGAAAGGCCCGTTCCTTCCTCCCCCCGTCCGCTCCCTCCCAGAGGCCAGAGCCCCCCCAACCTTGTGGCTGCAGGGCAGGGAGGCTGGGGGAGAGGGGCACCCCCATCCCTGCCCTTGGGGCCATGCGGTGGGGAGCAAGAGCTGGAGATCAGGCCCCAGGTCAGGGGGAGAGGGGGGGCGGGGGGGGGGGGGAGGACGACTGTGTCCCCAATCAGGACGGGGCACTTGGGGGTGCTGTGTCCCAGGAGCAGGATGGGGACCACTGGGGATGCTGTTGCATGGGGCAGGGTGGGTTGGTGCCTGGGGAGGTCTCCTCTTCCCCAGGAAAAACCCAAACCCATGCTGCTACACGGGGACGTGATTCCCCATCACAGCACCCTGCAGCTCGACCCCAAAGCACCCCTTGGGCCTGCCCAGCCACCCAACAGCCAGCCCCTCCCCAGCCCATAACCAGCACCATCTCCTGGGGACCAGCCCCCAATTCCCCATCACCCTTCCCGGCTGCAGCCCGATTCTCCATCCTCCACACTCAGACATTGCCACTGGGGAAACCACAGCTGGTTGGAGGGACACCCGTCCCCCCGCCTCTCTGCTGCAGGGGTGCAGGGGTGCCTGCTCTCCCCCTGCATCCCCCCTCATTAATTTCCATCAGTGGCCAAGCAGGGCCGGGGCTGCCCGGGGGTGGCCGAGGAACACGGCGCTTTCCCCTGATAGCAAAAATAAATACATTAAAATTCTTGCAGGAGGCAGAAGAATGCGGGACGGCAGGAAAAAATTGTTTTATAATTTGTAATAACACAAAAGCCGAGGGGGGGGGGTGTGAGCTGCGAGAGGCGAGGGAAGGCAGAGACAAGGGATCAGCCACAGCAACGAAGGCTGCTTCAGGGTGGCAGTGGCATCCCTGTCACCCATAGACCTGGCTCAGTGTCACCACTGTGGTCTTGTCCCCTGAAGGATGTGGCCCTTTGGGTCTTGTTGCAGGAGGTGGGGGGAGAAAACTCCTGGGGCTGGGAGAGCAGGCAATCACCTCCTGGCTGCTTAAGCAGGTCTCAGCATCTCCATGCCTCAGTTTCCCCCTTGCTAAAGGGGGATTTTTATGCAACTGGGAGAAAAGCCGGGAGGTAGGGGCGAACCCCGGGTATCCCCCTGGTCCCAGCCCAGCTGTTAAAAGCACAAGGCAAGGAGCCCACCTTTGCCCATCCCTCCCCACCAGCCTCTCTCGGGGGGTTTGGCTGCAGGACCCGGGTGATGCTCCCATGTAGGTGGCTGGGGGCATCACGACCCCCCCCAGCCCCCTCCAGCCTCGCGCGGGGCTGGGACGTGATAAGGCGAGTTGCTGTGCACCAGCCGCACCTGCTCGCCGCGACGGGGCTCCCCCTCCTCCCGCTCCCCTCTTCGGGGCAAAATCAAAGGGATTTTTCTGCCCTTAGGAAATCAGATAAAGGCTTCTCACCTGCCCCGCACTGCCTGTGCGAGGAGGCCGGGTGCTCAGGGCGGGGGACAACAGGCACTTTCAACACGCCGGCAGATGAGCTGTGCATTGCAGTGAGCGGCTGCGGAGCTCAGCCCGCAGGGGCTGGGGCCCTGGGCACAGTGTCAGCCTGTCCCCAGCCTTGGCAGGGATGTCCCCTCCCCAAGAGGTGCCTGTTGCTGACTTGTGCCCTAAACTTGAGGTGATGGGGTTCCTGTGGGGCAGGTAGGATGGAAGGTGGTGGGTGAAAGCAAAAGACCCCAGGGACGAGACACAGTGCAGCAGCCCAGATACAGTCCCCAGCTCAAGGAAGGTCCCCGTGTCCCTGTGCTGCAGCCAGGACAGCTCAGTCCTGGTCACCACACCAAGGGTGCAGACTGGGAGCCCGAACCCTGTGTGGGAGGGCAGGGAAGGAGCAGGTGGGAAACCTCCGGAGGTGGTGGGAGTCTCTTACCTCCTGCACCCAGGAGGGAGAGGAGAACTGTGCCAAGCCACAGATAAAACTGAGTCATTCACCACCAAATGCTGCTGACAGGGAGCAAATGTGCCCAGGTGAAGGGGAAAAGCTGGCAGTGATGGGGGCAAGGGGAACACTGATGGGCAAGCCAGGGGCTAGAGATGGGCAGGGGATGGGGGGTGGTACCCTCCCAGTAAGGGGGACAGACCCCAGATCTTTCCTGGAAGGAAGGGTGAGCTCACCAGCAGTGAGGGGACACTGCTTTGCCCATCACTGGTGGCAGACACCCTGTTTTAACCCAGTGGGCCAGATGGATGCTCAGCAGAAGTGGGTGCAGAGGTGGATTAGGGTCCCCCAGGGTGGCTCTCCCAGCCCCAGGATCCGTGGCCCTGATGCTGCAGGGCTGGGAGCTGCATCCCCAAGCTTTGCTGTGAGTCATGGATGGTGCAAGAGGAAGCAGAGACCTAGGGTCCTGGGATGAGCCCTGGGAAACCATTCCTGAGGCTGCACAGAGGGGGAGAAAATTGGGATGGCAGCCTACAGGCACCAGCTCCTCCTGTCCCCAGCTGCCCAGCCCTGGTGTGGCCCCTGCCACCTGCCAGGCCCCTCATCTTCCTCCTGCCCCAGGCGGCTCCTGCTGCCTGCTGTGCTGGGGTGCTGGGAGCTGTCTCCCTCCTGGGTCCCGGCTGCACCTGAGATGAGATCACCCTAAACAAGCCAGTCCACCCTGCACTCTTCTTCTGGCATCTTTGCTCCTGGGGCTCGCTCCTGTCACCCACCTGCATGTCCCCCTGCCCCAAGGATGTCTCTGAGCTGGAGCCGAGTGCTGGGAGATGCTTGGGGGGGGTCACTCCTCCAGTGTCCCCAGGCAGGACAGACTGGTCCAAGGGCCGGCAGCGCCACAGAGCCAGACTTGTGCCAGGAGGACCCAGTACAGGGAGGGGAGCCAGACAGGGCTGTGCTGTGGGGCAATGGAGGGGCACCAGGTTTGGGCAAAGCCATGCCAGGGGTGTCAGGGTCGGGCAGGAGAGCGATGGGCAGGTGCCAGGGAGGGGTAACTTCGAGGCCGTGTTAAGTTTGGTAGGGCTGCATCAGGACCCTGAGCGGAGCCAGGCAGGCCCGTGCCAGGCTCCTGCAAGGGCTGCAGAGCTGAGCCGGGCCGGGCCAGGAGGGGCCGTGCCCGGTCCCCGGGGCTGCGGGGGAC